AACTGTTTGGTGGTCATCACCATCATCATCATCGCCATAATCATCATCATCATCGCCATCATCATCACCATCATCATCATCCTCGCCATCATCATCATCATCATCGCCACCATCATCATCATCATCATCATCATCGCCATCATCATCATCATCCTCGCCACCATCATCATCATCATCATCATCGCCATCATCATCATCATCCTCGCCATCATCATCATCATCCTCGCCATCATCATCAACCCTTCCTACTTCATAATTAACAGCATCATCATCATTAGCTTTGTCGTTGAAAGCATTATTTTTTAAGTCATCATCATCACCACCTTAACCCCCCCACCATCATCATCACCATCATCATCATCGCCAACATCATCGACATCATCATCATCACCATCATCATCAACCCTTTCAACATCATAATTAACAGCGTCATCATCATCATCAACAACACCACCACTACCATAATCACCGACATCATCATCGTAATATTCATCATCATCACCATCATCAGCAAGAGGCCTCAGGTCTTCAAGCAGTCAGTCGCGATTAATCTGCAGCCAGCCAATGACAAACTGTTACGCCTTATTTATCCATGAATTAGTAATTGTAGTGCTGATTAAAAAGTTGGCCATGATGATGATGATGATGATGATGATGATGATGACGATGATGATGGTGGGGGCAGTGGTGCTGATTAAAAAGTTGATGATGATGATGATGGTGTTGGTGGTGGTGATGATGAGGATGGTGGTGATGATAGGGTGGTGGTGATGATGATGACCCGGTGGTCTTGGTGAAAATGTTGAGGAAGATAATGATGATGATGATGATGATGATGATGATGATGATGATGATGATGATGATTCATGAACAATGAGTGAGTGGCAAAAAGCAAGCACTTTTCATCATCATCGTCATCATCATCATCGTCATCAACAACAACTTCATCATCACCATTAACAACAACAACATCATCATCATCGTCATCATCATCATCGTCATCAACAACAACTTCATCATCACCATTAACAACAACGTCATCATCAACAACAACATCATCATCATCGTCATCATCGTCATCAACAACAACATCATCATCGTCGTCGTCATCAGCATCATCAGGATTATGATAACCTACACAACATCAAGTTCGTGAATCACATTTTCAAATTGGAGGCAAGGCAAAGTTCATCAGGGGAGGTAGGGGGAAGGTTATAAAGTACCTCAGACAAATTTCACGGAAACCATACATCATGTGTATCAGTAATCTTTGTCATTTTGATCATCATCATCATCATTGTAAAGTTATTCATCATTTTTTTAATACGACAAATCAACATTCCGATACAACACATCATCATTCCGATGCAACACATTATCATTCCGATACCACACATCATCATTCCGATACCATACATCATCATTCCGATACCACACATCATCATTCCGATATCAAACATCATCATTCCGATACAACACATCATCATTCTGATAACAAACATCATCATTCCGATACAACACATCATCATTCCGATACCACACCACCACCCACCTGTCTGAAGATATCTCGCAGAGCAACGTCATCACTGACGTCAACGATCACGTGCTTCCTCTGCAGCGTGCAATTGGCTGAATCCATCTTCCGGAGGATGACGTGGCAGTGGTGGGCGTGGCGAACTTTGATTGGCAGGATTTCCAAGGGTGGCCTTCCACCCTTCAGTGACATGTTGTGCAGACGTTCTAGACTCGCCGGTCCTAGGTGTGTGTGTGTGTGTGTGTGTGGCATGTGTGTGGCGTGTGTGTGTGGTTTTTGTGTGTGGTGTGTGTTTGGTGTGTGGAATGTGTGTTATGTGGTTTGTTGAGGTTCTAGGTGTGTGTGACGTGTGTGTGTGTGTGTGTGTGTATACACCTATAATCTAGTAATTTATCTTTAGATCAATAGTCCATTGTAGGTCCATACAAGTTAGTTCAAGTAATAAATACTTGTGACTGCTGTGCATTGC